TATTATTTACCTATTATAACTATTAAATATTACTTCTCAAGATTTAATTTCATTGATAACATCTCAAAAACATAAAGAACGACCACCTATTACTTCTACATCTATAAGTTTGATTATATTAACAAAGGTTATATCTTATTTTTTTGAAAAAGTCTTTATCTATAAAAGAAGCTGAGGCTCCTAAATCTAATAAGGCTAAGACTTTGTGATATTTTGGTCTTAAAAAAACTTCTATTGTAAAATAAGGTGAGGGATTTGAAGAGGGAATAGGATCTTTAATAGGATTTATGAAAGATTTTAGCTACATGATCTCTATTGTAGTTGGAGAAACTTGTTTTTCAATATATCATCCTCTTAGGCAACCATGCTCTTCATTTTGTGATTGCTTTTTTTTTTTAGACAATGTTGAGCAATATACTTGGATTCTCTACAAGATAGACACAAATATTTTTGACAACAATAAGTCTTTTTTGTTCAATAAGAAGTTTAAAATATATTGTGTTAATTTTCATAGGCCTTGGTTTAGACAAGTAAACTTCCAAAAACTTAGAAGATGTCGATATGGCTTCACTTTTATTTACCTAATTAAATCTTTTTTTTAAGCATTGATTGATCCATGCAAAGGCCCGAGCAATAAATTGCTTCAATGAACCTATTCTTGGCATTGTCAACAATAAATCTTTGACATTATCTTTCAACTTATATCAAAATTGATTGATGAAGGCTAGGCTAGATCACTAAATCTTATCTTTCAATCAAAATAAGGTTTGACTTGTGAGCAAGGTTCCAACTAAATTAACTTGTGACTCTTTCGTTGAATAGCGCTTAGATTGTAAAAATGATACCAATCAAATTTAATTAACAAATCCTTGAAACTTGGAGCATGTGCCAACAAATTATTTTGGAAGATTAATTCAAGGCTCCTTACGTTGTTGAATAGTTGAATTTTCTTATTGAAGTACAGATACCACCGCCTCCTTATATGTAGAAGCTTGAGAAAGTAATTGTATCACAAGTTGAATTATTTTAGGTCTTGCATCACTATGAAAACTTACAAAACATTCCTCAATTTTAATAATGTTATAAGACAAAATATTTAGCATACTAATAATAATATCTAACTTAGACTCAAGAGACTCAATTATACTAATATCTTCACTTCTAGCCATTGTAAATGATAAAAAATAAAATTTCTAAACAATACCAATTTAATAGAATATGATTTGTAATTTCTAAACTGCTTAGATGCCTTGAAGAAGAGGGGTAATCTACTCTCTATCAAGAAGGATCAAGCTCTAGTATAGATAAGAAGGCAATCTTAACAAACTATCATGGGCATACTATACAAGAGACCAAACAAGAAGTTGAACAAAAGAATTTCAATAAAAAAGCTAGCAAGAACTTGATTAAATCATATGAGTATAAAATCATCACTAAGAGAAGTGAGCTAAAACCTCAAGAAATATATTATTGAGATTAAAGATTCCCTTGGCCTTGACTCCAATATATACTAAATATCAGGAAGCTTCTTAAGAAGTTTTCATTTTACTTAAAAATAAAGCAATCTTAGGAAACTTCTCAAACAATTTTTTTAATCATCTTAGAACTTTTTAGAATCTATTATAATATTCTAGGAATATTCTAAAACCTTCTAAAGTATTTTAGAAATCTTTTTTAAAATCTTCTATTAAAATATTTTAAATTTTTTTAAAAACCTCCTATTAGAATATTTGAGGAATCTTATAAAAACTTCCAGAATCTAATAAAATATTTTCAAAATATTTTCAAAATCTTCTTGTTGGATGTCTATAACAATCCTAATCAAAATCTAATTGATACTAGTTTATCCTAAGACAATCTTAAAACCTTAATAAGTATTGATGAAGTTGTTGATTTTGCTTAAATTTTTTGCATATATTATAATCTCTAATGTATCAATTGTCCTCTTTCTCTAACCTTAACATTGATCTTTTATCAGTAATACTTGTTTGTTGAATCATTTACTTGTACTTAAAATTGACAATCTGTTTAAAAATTAACTTTACAATGTGCTCACAAAAAATATATATATATATGGAAGAATATTCAAAATCAAAGAAATCTTAATTGAATTTGAAAACCCAAATTCTAAGATCCTAACCAAGCTGAATTTTAATAATCTATGATCTAATTATTATTTTGATTTTAAATTTACAAAAAAATATTTAAGATAAATAGATACATAAGCCTAAAAATATTTAGTCACAAATATATTATAATGTTCACAAAATTCTCACACATATAAACTCTATTTTATTTCTCTAAAATCCAAACCACTTAAAGCACCTTTTACTTTAAAAAACTCTTAACAATTCAATATTAATCCAAACTACTTAAAATCAACTCTTGACCAAACTCTATTAAGCCTTCTCTTTATTTTTGTTCTTTGATCAATAAAAAAAAATATCGAAATTATTGTATGAATGAAATTTTGTATCTTAAAATGTAATTTTGACTTAAATTCATAATTGGTCATCTCTTAGTATTGTTACAAACATCCAATAAGAAGTTTTAAAGAATATTCTTTAAAATATTCTATTAGATTCTAAAAGATTTCAAAAGATTCTTAAAAGATTCTTAAAAGGTTCTTTAAGGTTCTTAAAATAATCTAGTTAGTTTTAAAAAGTTCTAAGAAGATTAAAGAAGTTATTTGAGAAGCTTCTTAGGATTGCTTCATCTTCAAGCAACATAAGAACTTCTTCAAAAACTTCTTAAGTTTGATTAATCTTCAAGCAACATAAGAACTTCTTCAAAAACTTCTTAAGTTTGCTTAATCTTCAAACAACATAGAAACTTCTCAACGAGCTTCTTAAGGTTGCTTCATCTTCAAGCAACATAGAAACTTTTTGAAAAACTTCCTAACATCTAATATATATTGGAGTTGAGGCTGAGGAGATCCTCAATCTCAACAACACATCTCTTAGGGTTCTAATTCACTATTCTTAGTGTTGATCTTATACTCATCTAGTTTAATCAAGTTCTTGTAAGTTTTTTTTTTGTTAAAATTCTTTTGTTCAACTTCTTGTTTGGTTTCTTATATAGTATATTCGTGACAAGTATCAACATCTAATTTTTGTAGGTAAATTTTTCTATAAACTACTATTTATTTCTATTTCAAAATATCCATGATAATAATTTTATTAAATTACTTTGTTATGTCATATTTATAGCTCTACAAACTAAATAGAAGTCTATTTTTTAAAAAGATAGCATTAGCACTTGTTACTTTTACTACTTCTTTGACTATTATCTATATCTCTAAGGTAGTTTTTTACTATGTTTTGAAAGAAGATTTTTTGTATTGTTAATTTTTCTTCTTTTTTTTAATTATAAAATAATTTTATCTTTTTACTTTAAAGATATAATAACTATAAATTATACATGTTAAGACTACTTAAATTTTGTATATATACAAAGATGGAAATTATTTAGATTATGTTTAATGTGTCTTCCTAATAAAAAAAAATACATTTAGATCCTTTTTGTAAGTCATATTGAATGTGTCCTCTATATGAAAAACATCCACTTCTAAGAATTAATTAAGATTATAGACAAGACATTATTTCTTTTCCATCAAATTAAGTTTGTTTAGAATTTAATTGAGATGTAAGGTTCTTTGTCTTTTGCAAATACAATTTAGTATTTACATCTTGGTGCACACTGCATTTCCAAGTTGGTTTTCACATAATATGATCACATTGACCAAGGTTGTACATAAAAAGTTTCAAATATAAGACATCATTTGTGAAACAAGTTCAAATATTGGCTTATTGAAGTAATAAATATACCATTAAATATTTGGAAAATCTTGTAATTATGCTAACTTTGATGCACCAAGGATAAATCTTTTATTAATTTAAATATGATTAAATACTTATGTTATACCAAAATTAAATAATTTTATAAATTTACAGATTTTAAAAATAGGAACTATTCTTTGATATTATTTATGATAAATTTTGTCTTTGAAAAAAATATTTGTTTGGTAATATTATATATTAAGAGCAAAAATATATTGAAACTACAATTTTTGGTCAGTGTATTTGTTAACAATATATTGGATTAGTGTATAACACACCAAACAGAAAACAACCCATTTGATCAAGAAAGTATGGCTTTGATGATAATGAAATTAATTCCAAACTGTTTGTTAATCTTGATTGTTTAGAATGTACCATTATCTGTGATGTGTACCTAGTTATTTATGCAATCTTGCAGAACTATTGTATCTTTTATGGTCTTTTATTAAAGTCACTTGTAGGTTTGACTTTGGCATATTTTACATGTTAAAAACAATTACTGCTGCTATTTTAATATCAATACATTATTGGTATCAAAATAATAAACCAAACATGTGTATCTTAAAATAATTCAGAAAACAAACATGGTTAGATATCTTTATTATTGAAATAATTTTAATTTTACATTAAACTAATTCTTTAAAATTAAGTGAAGATGCCGATGCCGATGCATTCGAATTGTGTGCATGTGTATGAGTATAAATAATTGAATAGTTATGCGTTGCGATGCTTATTTTATTTTATTTTATTTTATTTCTGTTGAAAGAGTGTGGGAATAGCAGAAATCCATACACATGCATACAAAGATTGCAAGGGATGGGGCATGTAGCGGCGGGGGGGGGGGGGCGGGGTAGAACAGTAGCAGGGAAGTAGAAGAAGCTTACGTGGGCAGAAATTTAACCCCCACCAATTCACGTCATAGATCCCAGTCATACGCGTGCCCACCAATGGCAGCCCTCCCCGGGGCCGTGACGCGATCGGGCGTCCCCTGGGCCAATCACGGCCTCCGATGACTAGGCCTGAACTAATCTGGGCCAACCAGAGCCTCTCGGCCAGCGGTTGCATTCACACCGACAGGGCGAGGGGCTGGCTTGGTAACGACCAACCTCCGGTTCACGGCGAAGCGAATTCTCCAGAACTTACGAGGCCCCGCGCAGCCCTATATTCCCAGCACTCGCCTCTGGCACTGCGTCAATCGAGGGTGCGCTTTCGTCTTTCTTGTCGTGGCTACCTTTTACGTGCTTAGATCTGCGGTGCTTGGGCTTGCATAAATCTGCGGGCACTGCCTAAGGGACTAGTTTCGATCGAGGAGGTTTTTGTTTTCGGTGTCGGACGTTATCCGCCTTGGGTCGGTTTTGCGGGAGGTGCTTGCTGTTAGGTTTTTGTTCGCGGACTGAGAGTTTGCGCGGAGTGGGGCACCATGGGGCGCCACACACTGCTGGTGCTGGGCCTGCTGTTCGCGGCCGGCGTGGCTGGGAGCTTCGGCGCCGCAGAAGAGGCGGCGAAGCTGGGCACCGTGATCGGAATTGATCTGGGGACGACCTACTCGTGCGTGGGCGTATACAAGAACGGGCATGTGGAGATCATCGCCAACGACCAGGGGAATCGTATCACTCCTTCGTGGGTGGCATTCACGGACAATGAGCGTCTGATCGGCGAGGCGGCGAAGAACCAGGCCGCCGTGAACCCCGAGCGGACGGTGTTCGACGTGAAGCGGTTGATCGGTCGGAAGTTCGAGGACAAGGAGGTGCAGAAGGACATCAAGCTGTTTCCATACAAGATCGTGAACAAGGATGGGAAGCCGCACATCCAGGTGAAGGTGAAGGACGGCGAGGTGAAGGTGTTCACGCCGGAGGAGATCAGCGCCATGGTGCTGGTGAAGATGAAAGAGACCGCGGAGGCGTACCTGGGGAAGAAGATCAAGGACGCCGTGGTGACGGTGCCCGCGTACTTCAACGATGCGCAGCGACAGGCCACCAAGGATGCGGGAGTGATAGCGGGGCTGAACGTGGCTCGCATCATCAACGAGCCCACCGCGGCCGCCATCGCCTACGGGTTGGACAAGAAGGGCGGGGAGAAGAACATCCTGGTGTTCGATTTGGGAGGCGGCACATTTGATGTCAGCGTGCTGACGATCGACAACGGCGTGTTCGAGGTGCTGTCGACGAATGGCGACACTCATTTGGGAGGGGAGGACTTCGACCAGCGCATCATGGAATACTTCATCAAGCTGATCAAGAAGAAGCACAACCGGGACATTAGCAAGGACAAGAAGGCGATCGGGAAGCTGAGGAGGGAGGCGGAGAGGGCGAAGAGGGCCCTGAGCAACCAGCACCAGATCCGTGTGGAGATCGAGTCGCTGTTCGACGGCGTGGACTTTTCGGAGCCGCTGACGCGGGCGAGGTTTGAGGAGCTGAACAACGATTTGTTCAGGAAGACGATGGGCCCCGTGAAGAAGGCGATGGACGACGCCGGGCTGCAGAAGACGGACATTCACGAGATCGTGCTGGTGGGGGGCAGCACCCGCATTCCCAAGGTGCAGCAGCTGTTGAGGGACTACTTCGACGGGAAGGAGCCAAACAAGGGCGTGAACCCTGACGAGGCGGTGGCGTACGGGGCGGCAGTGCAGGGAGGGATTTTGAGCGGGGAGGGAGGCGAGGAGACGAAGGACATTCTGTTGCTGGACGTGGCGCCACTGACGCTGGGTATCGAGACGGTGGGAGGGGTGATGACGAAGCTGATTCCCAGGAACACGGTGATTCCGACGAAGAAGTCGCAGGTGTTCACGACGTATCAGGACCAGCAGACGACGGTGTCGATCCAGGTGTTCGAGGGAGAGCGCAGTCTGACGAAGGATTGCCACGAGCTGGGGAAATTCGACCTGACGGGCATCCCAGCGGCTCCTCGGGGGGTTCCGCAGATCGAGGTGACGTTCGAGATCGACGCGAACGGAATTCTGAACGTGAAGGCGGAGGACAAGGGCACCGGGAAGTCGGAGAAGATCGTGATCACGAACGACAAGGGTCGGCTGAGCCAGGAGGAGATCGACCGGATGGTGCAGGAGGCGGAGGAGTTTGCGGAGGAGGACAAGAAGGTGAAGGAGAGGATCGACGCCCGGAACAGTCTGGAGACGTACGTGTACAACATGAAGAACCAGCTGGGGGACAAGCTGGGCGAGAAGATCTCGGCCGAGGACAAGGAGACGATCGAGACGGCGATGAAGGAGGCGTTGGAGTGGTTGGACGAGAATCAGAGCGCGGAGAAGGAGGACTTCCAGGAGAAGCTGAAGGAGGTGGAGGGGATCTGCAACCCGATCGTGACGAAGTTGTACCAGGCCGCGGGTGGAGCACCGGGTGCGGGCGCGTCGGAGGACGGCGAGAGCGACGACGAGAGCCACGAGGAGTTGTAATGGGGCAGGGGAGGCGTAGGAACGGGCGGGGTGCGGAATTCGCACCCGGTTCGGTGATTAGGAGGATTGTAGAGGTGATGTAAAGCGTAGGTCTGCTCGTATGAGACGGGCGTCCAGGGCGGGGGTGTGGGGATTCCTCGCGGCGGCATCGTGGGATGGCTCGAGGGACGGGCACCCGCGGCGCAGCTTAGTGATTCGCCCGAAGTCGAGATTCAGCAGCAGCAGCAGCAGCCACCACCACCACCACCAGAGGAGAGAGATTGGGCAGGGAGAGAAACGATGGTGTGGGAGTTTTTTTCGACCTATCCCACGTCTTTAAGTGGGTTTCATGTGGACGTTGTGATGCATGTGAGACTAATGTAGAGCTATCATCACTTCATCTGTGATGCATTCACATTTCGCGGTGTCGGGGTGCGGGTTGGCATGTGCATTTTGTCTTATCGAATTGGAGTCGTCGTGGAGCGGATGGGAATGATTGTGATGGTTTTGAGGTGAGCAGAGTATGGGAATGTCGTCGTCGGTTTGGTAATTTGTGGAGGCATGGGTACACGCGAGTGCGATGTATTGCAGGCGTGGTTGGTGAGGTGGATGTGTGGAATGGGAGTGGGTCATTTTGGGGAAGGGGAGTGGTGAAGTTTCACCGACTTTCAGGTGAAGTTCGAGTGCATGATTGGGGCGTATGGGTGTTTTGTGTTGGGATACATTGCTGCAATTTTGTTGCAGCATTTGATTGTAGGGGCCGTTTGGGTATTAGGAGTGAGGCCAGTCAATTGCGGGAGGTGCTGTTGCAAGCTTGAGAAGGCAGCGGTTGGAGAGGGTTTTAGGTGGGCCGTGAAGATATCGAATTGAAAGCGAGGCATACGTCTATGGATGCGAGGTGATGTGGGCTTTGTCTGGAGGTTGTTCTGGTTAAATGCCAATTGCACCTGCGCAGGGTGTGGTGCAAGGTGGGGTTTTTGAGGTTTTGGGTTTAGTTGGGGATGGAAGCCACTTGAGTGGATGAAAGTGACCTAGATTTTGGTGTCAGGGGCAGGGGGATTCTGCTGCTAATGCGATTGGAGACATGAATTTCACATGCGTGAATTGTGCCGGGGCGTGGCAGAGTTGGGTTGGTTTTGCTCTGTCGTCAGGGGTTGTATGTCGAGGAATGTTTGGTCAAGCTCTGTGGATCCCTTATCCGTGGCAGTTGTCTTTGCTGGTGGGCATTTCGTGCCGTGCATGGGTGAAAGTGGTGGAGGGTATTGAAGGTTGTGTGGCTTGGTCATGGAAGCAGGCAGGATTCGGGAGTGGGAATGCAACATTTGTGAGTCGATGCTTGGCAGATACCTCGGTCTTGTTTTCGAAATAGGTTCCGCCTCCGGAGTCCGTAGGGTGACTGCTTCGATTGTGTATGTTTTGCTTGTTTACATAGCATCGCTGACTAGTGGACTGGCTCGAAGTAATGACGTTATGTTGAGGGTGGTGGGCTTGGTTGGAGATTAGGAATGAATGGACGGTGTGTGTATTTTCGATGTTGCTTTTCGAGGCTATGACGGATTTGATGACGATGATGATGCTACTAGGTTGTGTAGTTGGTGTTGAGGATGAATGTCGTCTGAGTTGTATCGAAGTGATGGTTGTCATGGATGAGCTGTTGACGGGGCAAAGAACATGTTGGGGCTGGTTGACCGCTTTGCGTTGTGTGCATGGAGCTTCTGAAATGGGTATCGGGTTATTGGGGGTGCAAGTCGGTCGAATAGCAAGTTCATAACAGAGCTGGTGCATGTAAGCAATATCTATTGTGCTGGTTAGTGTTGTGTCGGTATGGTGCGAAATGATGGAATCCTTTTCAGCCTAGCACCGCTTTATGGACGGTTTTGGGTCCCATGAGTTGGACAATTTATGGAATGACATAATCGAGTATGACTTTGAGAGTTTGTATTGAGAGTACGATATACACAGAACAGATGCATGACATCGTTTTGATAGGCAGGTCAACGAAGAGGATCTGAATTTATGGCAATTCTGAGTAGGCTGGACACCCAAGGGTTTAGCATCGATGATAGTTGGATGTTACAGGAAAGCCCTGCTCATATGCTGCGGCGTCGTGAACCATTGTAGAGAATGTGCGGTTTCCGACAAGGCAAGTGTTGCGGAGGGTTCTGGTAAGCGAGGAATGTCGCAGTCGATCGGTTTGAAGCACACCTCTTCTTGATCCCAACGAAGATTGTCCGTCGCAGACTAAAACGCCAGTTCGGGTCAGGTTATGAACAACGATAGACTTGATGGCGATCATTTGGTCAACGGAATAATGTACAAAAGGCAGGAAAACGAAACATTTATTGCGACAAATGCGTTCGTCATTGACATTCCTGATGTCAGCGAGGCCAAGCACAGCAACCCAGAACCAGAAGGTCAGCTGAGCGAGAAGCAATCCGGCGTTGCGGGATTGCTTGGGCGCAGACTCTCCACGTTGCAACAAATGCTCATGGAAGACACGATTCGCCGAAGTGCCGGTGGCGTGCTGCAGTCATGGCGACCAATGCAACTTTGGTCACGCGTGGTGCCCCAGCAAACGTGGAATATTTACTCCGTGCTTCAATGGACACCGAATTCACAACCCGGTTTGTTCTTTCTCTTGGACCGCTTCTCATGGCCCCAGGCGTGGCCCCAGCTCTGTAGTCCGACGACCTCACACTCCCGAGGCCAGTGAAGCACAGTATCGGAACTACTGCTTAATTAAGTTTTAAGTAGTTTTAATGTTTAGTGTTTAATGTTATTGTATAGACCTGGTTAAGAAAGTTCGGAGGTGTGGTGGAAGGTGCAAGCATGAAGAGTAGCGACTCCTTGATAATGTGCAATACTAACCATGTGTTAGCATTGATTAGTTGTTTGATATCTTGGATTTATGAAAGGTTGAGATTGTGCATATTTTTTGGTTAGAATGTTAATTGGAAAGGAGGTGTCGAGGTGGTGTTGTGATACAGGCTGTTGAATGGTTAAATTTTTTGTAATTATATGTGTTTATTATTAGTTTAAGTTTGGAGTTGGATTGATATCAATATGCTTCTTTTGTTGTTGGTTGAGAATTAGTTCAAACAATCATTAGATTGGTAGTTAGAAGGATTTGGTTGATTGGATTAAGATAAAGGTTGAATTAGGATTGGATTAGGTAGTAGAGGTGTGGAGATGGAGGCTTGCTATTGAACCAACCAAGGTAGAGTCTTTGCTTGACCAAATATTAAACCAAATGTAGAGAAGTCCTTGTTCAACCAAGTATGGAGTGTGACAAATTGTTGTTTGTTGTGTATCAAATCTTGTGTGGCTTTTGTATTAATGAACCATTGTTTATCTTTTGTTGTCTCTAATTAAAGTGATTATTGGAAGAAAAATGCTTGTGTGGTATATATGGACATAGAATATAAGAGGTATATCCTCCATATTTTTTTAAACTTCTATCTAGATTTTGACTTTGCGTTTTCATAAGAAGTTGTTGGTATATTTGTGGTATCTTTTGATTTGTTTTAAAAATAGTCATAATTGCAATGTTCCATATTTTTGCAATAAGGGCAAGGGGAGGTTGATTTGGATCTATTTTTTGGATTCTTGTGGTCTTTTTTGGGGTACTTTGAAACTGATTTTGATTGCCACTTGTCCTTGCCTTTGCATCATGCTGTGATTTTAAAGACAAGCCTTTGATGGTAGTCTCTTTTCAAAGAGGATTGCAATTTTTATATGATTGTTGTCCTTGTTCACAATGTTTGAATCATTGTGCCATATTGTGATGGCATGGACCTTATTAGAGTGAGAACTTCAATTTGTGATGGAATCATGATTCCTACAAAGTAACATGGCTAGAATAGTGTTTTGAGGTTGTACAAATGTTATGTTAATCTCTCATTTGCTTTCATTTTTTAATGTAATAAGATTTTCTTGTAATTATGCTTAAATTATAACATTGTCAAAGAAAAAAGAGTATTTTCCAAGACCAATGATGCTTAGCTGGTTGTTTTGCATGCTCTTGCATGTGATAATATAAAGTTGTCTAAGCAATCTTAGATGGATGCAAGCACTTCTTTCAAGGAAGTATAGCTACTTGATTTGTTAGTGGTGGGGTGATTGTTGCATTTAAATTTGTGATTGGAATTGGTTCTTTTTCTCTGGTAGAAACTAACTTTCACATTTCTTCTATTGCGAATTTTATTTATATTTTTTTTTGTCTCTACATAGTATATTAAGAGCCATCAAATTTTGGCCATTAGTTGGAAGCAAGACTATTTGTAACCATACTTATGAAGAAAGGTTTATTGGTGCCCATGTTTCTATGTAGAACATCTTCAACTCATCCTCTCTTTTGTAAGCTTTATATTCTTATATTTCTAGAACTTGCTCTAAGAAGTGCTTAGATTGTAACTCTTTATAACATGTTGGAACTACTCTTTTGTTTAGTGTTAAGTAGTTTTAATGTTTAGTAATACTTAATGTTTGATGTTTAGTAAACATGGTTATTCCTAAATTTTTAATGTTTAGTAATACTTAATGTTTAATGTTTAGTAAACATGGTTATTCCTAAATTTTATGGTGTTGAGGAAGGCGCGACCAGGAGGTGTCACGACTCCTCGACGAGGTGCGACTCAAACCCTGTATTAGCACGGATTGGTTATTTGTAATTCGATTATGTTGTTCTAATGCACAGTTGCATTCTGAATCCTGCATTTCGTACCCCAGGTTGGTGGTTGTGCAGTAGAACATGCATCGGAAGACCAGGGGCGTCGCACTACACGGTTTGAGGTGGCAAGTTCATTTCCCTTTCTCCTTGCTCCCTCCCCTTCCTCGTGTCATATTTTGTGAGGGCTCTCCCGAATGGTTGTGCCCTCGTTCTGGCTCCTCCCTGGTTTGCTGTCTCTGGTTTCTTCGCCGCCTGCCACTGCAGCGGCTTCCTCAGGTTTCTGGTCCACCGGTCGCCGTGGATAGCGATCGATGATATGCTCTGCAAGAAGCGCCACAAATTGGCCCGGCAGGTTATTGCTCCGGCATACCTTTCTGGCCACTTCTTCGGCCGACTCGTTGTCTTTCACCTTGATGCGCTCCACGCAGTTGTCGTCGAGGTCAATAGTGAGGTTGGCAAGCTGAACGGCGGGGTCGTCGAGTTCTTGAGTTCCTGCCACGGTGCGGTTGGAAACGGTCACCACGAGACGAACCGGCAACCCACAATCCGAAACAGAAATTTTCAGCACTAAGAGACGGACATTCGGGACATGAGGTTCCAACATGCGTGCACCCCATAACCTAATTGCATCCACGTCGGGGAGCTGAACGCGTCCATGAGTTGGAGACCAATGTGCAGTACCAGGTGCGGCGCTGTTGCCACCAGGTGTTGTGAGCAGCGGTGTCTCTCCCTGCAAATACACACCCCGTGCTCGTGAGACGGTGGGGCCACCAAGTCCGTGCCGAGGTAGACAAGGGCATACATCGGAGGTGCAAGCACTGGGTTGACCCCAGAGGCGAGAAACAGCGAGAATTGGACCTGTCTGGCGGAGGCGTCGTGTGTGGATGCGTCTCGCATGGCATCCTTGCAGTCGCGACACATCGGCACGCGGCAGGAGTTCTCTCCCCGCCTCCTCATGGCTGGTCTGGTGAATCACCGATGAGCGCGCTACCTCGTGGCGGCTGCGCACAAGCGTAAGTTAGCGGGAATTGGCAGGGCACGTCCGCAAGGATCAGGTGCACATTCGGGATTGCGGATCCGCATTCGATGAAGAGTGCAGGAAGTGTAGAGTTGAGGTTCTGGAATCCCTGCGTGGCGGCGTGGACACACCTTCGGGAGTAGCCATGGAGAGAAGCGCCGCGGGCGAGAAGGAAGGAAGGAAGGAAGCGCAGGGAGGCGTGGGAGTTGCGATTCCAGAGAGAGTATGGAGTGGGAGAGAGAGAGAGACGGACAGACAGAGAGCGAGAGATAGGGAAGGAAGCGTTGGGAGGAGGTGGGGTTCTTGGCGACAGTGAGAGTGGAGGCAGGCAGGCAGGCAGGCAGAGTGGGGCCTGGGAAGCACGCGTACCCTGAGGGCTCTCTCTGTGCCTCTCTCTCTCGCTACTTTCCTTATCCATGGGTCGGGCCTCTTGGGAGCTTTCCAATCCTCCTAGTTTCCGTGACGTGGCTTTCCCATCCTCTCCGGTGGGTGCATTTCCCATCAGTCATCGATCCATCGATGCTTTCATTCATCTCCTTCTTCCTCCAAGCGTGCATCGTCTTTGGTGCTGGTTTGCACCTGCTTCCCTTTCTTTCTTGTTTTTCCTGGTGTGGATCTGTGGAGTTGAGCAGGGCAACAGTGCCATTTTGTTGCAATGGTGGTACATGCACAACTTCCTGTGTCTCATGTCGCAAATGGGAACAGAAATGGAAATGAACAAAATAGGCTAAAGAAACTCTTGAGAGTGAGGAAAGCCAGAAAGCGTAAGGGATATTTGAGCACAAGTAATCATTTCCAGAGTAAATGTAGTCCATACAATAAAGTATGCAATGGCTGTGAAGACAAGGGATGGGGTCCAGTTGAGGAATGTGTGCTTTTACACTGCACCTGTAGAGGCAATCCATGGACTCTGTAGTGGCAATCCATGGACTCTGTAGTGTCATGTCATGCATTCTTGAAGACATAAGGGAGCCAACCTATTATTTGCCACCATCTCCGTTTGACCTAGGGGGTTGAGTATTTCTATTATGTTGGCAACCTAATTACGACCAATTTTGGCATCCTATGGTCAAACATAGGTGGGAGGCTGGTTAAATTGATGTTGCATTGTGAGCATTACATAAAATTCAATTTACTTGGAAATGATATGCATGAACTATCAAAATTTAATTTTTGCATTAGTGGAGTTGTACATATGAAGGGGCTAATTATACATCATCAATATATATATATATATATATATATTTTGGTTGCACCTCAAGGTTGTAATCTTTGGAATTGCATAAGCAACATGGTGAAAATTTGGAAAGATTTGATTGGAATAAAACCTAGGGAGTTATGAGTTTCTCTACATTTGTAGTTGTGTAGCTCAATTACAAGGTAAGGAGGGTGAACTCTATTATTCGTGAGTTAATTAGTAAGGTAGAATTTGGTGATGAAGGGAGCATAGTAGATTCTCAATACTTTTGCTTCATTGTTAGCATTCCAAGGGAGCTATGGAAGTATAGGGAAGAGAAGGAAGAGAGGGGAGGAAGGGAGGGGGGAAGAGAGAAGAGATTGTTGATACCTAGACTCTAACACGGAATATAAAGGGATGAAAAAATTTTGGGCTTATTAATCAGCATATATAGTTGCCAGGTTTGGGTCCAAAATTGAATGCAAGCTTATTTAATATTAATCTGCAACATTTGCTTTTATCATTATTTGTCAAGGACATGAATCTAGAAAATAGAAATATTTAATCCATTGTCAAATACATAAACTAAAAGTTGATCCATAAACCAATGAAATCTGTGTCAAAGAATGAGTAACAAAATAGAAATAAGGAAGTACGTATATTAAAAATAAATTGGAATGGCTTATTGTCAAAAGACTAGAAAACTTGAGACTCTTGAAACTAGACTAGAAGCAAGAAAGGAGTTGACAAGAGTGCAGAGGGCTTAATTCTTATTTCTATATATACTATCTAACTAGGAGCTACGTGGCGATGTTCTATAGGACCTCTAATATGTGTTGACTTTGTAGAATACATGCTTTGACTTATAAGGCAAGTTTTTCTACATGTGGGCCACATAATTAGCTTGGTCTTCAAGTAAACAACATGTATGGCACATGGCTAACTTGTTGACTATTTTTTTAATCCAAAAAGCCAATTAAAGATACCTATAAAGTCAAAGTAGCATCTATGAAGCATCAAAGAAGCTTCTATAGAAGATATTATAGAATTAACTTATTTTTATCTAATTCTATTTACTTCTACTTATTTATATAGGTAATTATTGGCTTACATGTATATGTTCGTGACATTATCCTCCCTTTTAAAGACGAGTTGTATAAGGGGCAGTCATTATATGTTGAAAAAATCTATGATGCGATGAATTAAATTTGCCACATACTCAAATCTTTGCTCTCTTCGAAGATGATTGATAGGGCCTTTCAACAATCGGTAGTGTTTCATACATGGGCGAGAAGACCACTTTGTTATTTGATTATTGTTGAGGCCTTCATAACTTCTTTTAAATAAAACATTTGGAACACCATCAGGAGTTATTCCTACTTCTAATAAAATTACCAAATATTAGGAGTCTCTTCCAAGGTCGTGATACCAAACGTGTTGTATCTTGCCATCTATTTGAAAGAGTTTATGACATTCTTGAGGATCTTCATCTCGATTGCATCGTCTAAAAGGTTGTGACAACCCCAATGTCTTGTCTGACAAGTCAGCAAATGAAGGCTCTTCAATCGAATCCATTGGTTGTTGGTTTTCCATCTCTTTATTGCCACAAATACAAAGAAGCTACAAACAAGGATTAAAAGTAGAATGTTATCTTGCCTAGATCTTATTTCTTTTATAGGAAATATCTTCATCTTGATTTTAATGGATGTCGTCGATGAAAAGCCTCCACTTTCTTTATTGTATTTGTAAGATTGTTTGTTGGCTTCTATGTGCATTTATTAATATTGTATCTGTGCTAATGAACAACATATTCTAACTTATTTTGGCACTGTTTTGAATCTAAGACTTCTTCCACTTCAAATTCTTCATTATTGTCCACTTCCATAGGAAGATGTAGTTCTTGTCTTTTTCTTGGTATGTCCATTGTCTTGTATAGTTCAAGAAAAGACATGTGAAATATTGGATGGATTTTCATTAATTCAAGTAGATGTAAATGATATGCAACTGGATTGATTTGTGTAGAAATAGAAAATGATCTAAGCCTATGATAGTCCAACTTGTCACAAGGACAAGTGGTCTTGATATTGCAACAAAGTAATCAACCTTGTCACCTATGTGGAATGGTAGATGTTCCTTTCGATGGACATCCGCATTGATCTTTTGTTGTTCTTGAGTTTTTTTGAACTACGCCTTCATTGTTGCATATAGCTCTAACAAATGATTTGCCAAATCCTCTACCACAAGATTATTAGCTTTTGAAAAGTCAAAAGCCTCAAGTCGTGGATAATAACCATAATTGACAAAAAAAGGTGTTTGTTTTATAGAAGAATATATAGTGTTATTATAAGCACACTCTGCCAATGGCAAAAGAATTGTTCAATCATCTTGTTGGTAGTTGATGGTACATCTTAAATACTACTCCAAGACTTGATTAACATGCTCTATTTGTCCATCAGTTTGAGGATGGAATGTCAAAGATAGTTTTATATCTATTTTTAGAATCTTGAAAAGAATGTGCCAAAACCTTGATACAAATTGAGTTTTCTTATTAGATATAATATCCTTAGATAATCTTTGATAGTGATAGATGTTGTCAAGAAAGAGTTTAGTTATTTCTTCAACTATGATAGATTTTGTACATAGTGCAAAATGTACCAACTTGGTAAAATGATCTACTATCATGAATATAGAGTCATAAGAACCTAAGATTAGAAGATTCATGATGAAATCCATAAAAACAGAAGACCATGATTGTTTTGGAATGGATAATAATTGAAGAAATTTGTAAGGTTGATGACGAGGAATTTTTGATCTTGAACAAACGTCACATGACCGAACAAAGTCTTTTATATCTTTTTACATTTGTAGCCACCAAAAATCTCTAGATATAAGTTCAAAAGTCTTGTTGTATCCAAAATGTCATGTTGTTGGAAAGTCATGACGTGCTTGAAAAACATGTAATTATGATTCTTCTTTTCGAACATATAATTGACCTTTGATATAGAGTAGATTTTTTTTAAACTCAAACTTAGAAGTATCTTAGGACTTAGAAAAAAGATTCTTGATATTGTGAATAAGAGGATCAAAAGACATACTTGATTGGATTTGTTTCACAAGGATGTAATCAATAGTCAATGTTGCTTTTATAACTCAAAGATGAAAATGTTGTGACTTCAAAAGAATTGTTCTTTATTGATCAAAGGTTGCATCTTCTTCTTTTGGTGCAAGATAAGAATGTGTAATAAAGGCATCTGATAAATCTTGTTATTTTTTGGATCGATATGTGTTCTTGTAATCAAATCTTAATAAAGACATGCTCCAACGGGCTTGGCGACGATTTAAAACACGTGTTGATATGAAGTACTCGAGATTCTTGTGATTCGTATATATGGTGATTAGATTAGAAGCATCTTCTTATTCAAGACAAGAATTCGATGAAAAATCAATTCGCACAAGTGATCCTTTACTAAAGGAAAGGTAACAAAATATAAATAAATAAGTATGTATATTGAAAGAGAAACTAGAATTACCAAAAGACAAGAAAACTAAAGTCCCTTGAAACTAGACTGGAAGCAAGAAAAGAGTTGACAAGAGTGAAGAAAGCTTCACTCTTTTTTCTATATATACTATCTAACGAGAGGCTACGAGGCGACGTTCTATAGGACCTCCAATATGTATTGACTTTGTAGGACACATGCCTAGTTTTATAAGGCTAGTTTTTCTACGTGTGGGCCACATAGTTAGCTTGATCTTCAAGCTAACAACATGTGTGGTACATGGCTAACTTGTTGACCACATTTTTAATCCAAAAAGTCAATTAAAGACACCTATGAAGTCAAAGCAACGACTATGAAGCTTCTAGGAAGCTTTCTTATTAAATACTATAGAAATAACTTACTTTTATCTAGTTTTACTTACTTCCACCTATTTGTATATGTAATTACAGCTTATATGAGTATGTCCATGATATTACCTCACCTTCTAGGGATGTGTTCCACGAGGAGCGGCCATCATATGTTGACAAAATCTATGATGTGACAAATTATATTTGTCACATACTATGATCTTTGTTCTTTTCGAAGATGATGAATAGGGCCTCTCAACCATCGATAGTATCCCATATTAGGACAGAAAGATCACCTAGTTATTTGATCATTGTTGAGGCCTTCATAACTTCCTACGAATAGAACATTTGAAACACCATCAAGAGTTGTTCCTACCTCTAGAAAAATCACCAAACATCGAGAGATCCTTCCCATGTCGTGATACCAAACGTGTTGTATCTCACCATCTATTCGAAGAAGAACATGTCATTCTTG